ATGCGACTTGCATCTGAAGAAGTGAGGTTCTTACCCACGAAAGCTTATGCTCCCAATACTTCTGTTAGTCTCAAAGGTGCCACAGGACCCTCTGTTGCTTTTTACATTACATTACTTAATCACAAAATGCAAATTGGCATTGTTACTAATACAACATAAAGAAATACATTTAAGTATAACCGAAGCGTTAGTTCACCTGATCAATGTGAATATGATATTAACCACATTAATTTTAGCTGTTGTTATGGATTTTACACCTCTACCCCGATATAACGTGACCCAATATAACACGAATTCTGATATAACGCGGAAAAGCAGCACTCCGGGGCGGAGGGGTGCGTGCTCCGGCGGATCAAAGCAAGTTCGATATAACACGGTTTCAGCTATAACACAGTAAGATTTTTTGGCTCCCGGGGACAACATTATATCGAGGTAGAGGTGTATTTATATGTGTACAGTATTTCGCACAATGGGGACCAACCTGGATGCTTTAAATATTACCACATAAACTTTAAATAAAAAAATAGATTTCAATCTAAGCAGATCTTGACTTGGTTAGTATTCATATGGAAGAGACCTTCTATTAGAGCCCAAATGCAGAAGAAAATAGTGGCCCCTCTTTTCATAAGTTAATATTGTGCCTGTGCTTCTGGACATCCTTCCACTTGTGGTCATTACTTTCTGCTTAACAAATTCTTCCTACAGTTTCAACTAGATACAGTATTTTTCACTTCCTAATCCACCACAATATTTAGTGTTGGACTGCACTGTTCAGTAAATCAGCAGCTGGCAAAGTTAATCCTATATAGAAAATCAAAAATACCCTCAAGGTGCATGAGCATGGCTCCTGAGGCAAGAAATCGGTCCATAGTTTGCAGGCACTTTGCACTGATATTGACAATAAAATAATTTTCAACTTCTACTTTTACAAAAGCAAATATTCAACTGTTGGCCAATATATTTTTCTAGGAAGTTTAAATTATTTATTGCTATTAAATATAATAGTATTAAATAAGATCTATATAGCACCATAAATGTGCACTGCATTTCAGAAGATAAATGAAGACTGAGCCCCAATTCAAGAAGCCCTTACAATGTGAGCAATGATTTAAAAAAATGTTAGGAGATAAGTAGGGACAGTATCGGGAAGGGGTAGGATGAAGCCATGGATAGTAAGACCACATGGGAGCCTAGCGTATGCTTTCTGAGTTGTACTCACATTGCAAAATAACAGGGTTTGGATCAGAGTCACAGTGGGACTCAGGCTCTGACCCTCCCCCCCAGCAGGATCCTAGGAGCTAGGTCCTGAGTGCTTGCTGACCTAAGTCAGACTCATTTGTGTGTGGACAAAAGCAGGTGCTTAGGCTCAAACCTGGGCTAAGTGTGCAGGGTAGACATACCCTCAGTGATTGCATTTTTTGTATATGCATTTTATTAGAGTATAGTTTATAAGCAACTCTGAAGATTAACTGCATTTTGAACTGATAGGTTGGAGAAGAAAGATGGTCCATTGATAATGACACTAGCCTGGGAGATCCAGGTTTAATTCCCTGCCTTCCTTGTGATCTTGTATAAGTCATTTAGTGTCTCAATCCTTCCGTTCTCCATGTGTAAGATGGGGATAATAAAGATTGGGAGGTCCTCAGATATTTGGTATGGAAATGGGGGTCATAATACATAAAATAGTCTAAGAAGGGAGCTAAATTGAGGGGACTATATAATTATGTATTAAGTTAACAATGAAAAGCTCATTTAATTTTGCACCACAATCACAGTCTAAAAAAGTCACTCCTGCTTCCCTGGTTCTTTTTGGCATCAACAACACATCAAATACTGCATAAAATCCACAATTTGATTAGCCAGACATTTTATTCAGGATGCAGCTTAACATGAAAAAGCATAACCCACAGATTGTTGGTTTTTAATCTCAAAAACCATAGAGTAACCAGACTTTCCATCTAAACTGAAGTCTTGGGTTTCCTAACTAAATATTCTGCTGTTATCCTAATTGTACTTCAACCACTGCAAATTACCTTACATTCTGAACCCACACTAGAAACATCTTTAAAATTCCCATATGTGAACAGCTTGGCAACATGAAAATGTAAAACTTTAGTCTTTCCTGCATACTTCATTATAAACCTCTACCCTGATATAACGCGACCCAATATAACACGAATTCGGATATAACGCAGTAAAGCAGTGCTCGGGGGGGGGGAGGGGGCAGGGCTGCGCACTCCGGCAGATCAAAGCAAGTTTGATATAACGCGGTTTCACCTATAACGCAGTAAGATTTTTGGCTCCCGAGGACAGCGCAATATCGGGGTAGAGGTGTACTTTCAGCAGCATGCCAAAAATCATATTCTGCAGAACTTTTGTAATGATCATAGTACTTTAAAACAATTAAAGTATTTCTGATAGAGCAATAATTATAATTACTTTTAAACAAGTGTAAACTTAACCACAAAGCTTTAAAATGAGCAGTTGGAGCTCACATAATGATTTAAGTTTCCCACACATAAGACAGTACAGGAACATTTAACTACTCAAAAATGAAATATATTATACTTATTTTACATAACTGTACCAAATGTTATGTTATTATCCAGTAAAAAGTATATTTTTCCATGAAATTTTCCTAAAAAATGTCTTTGGCTTTGCATAAATGCTTTCAATTTAAAAATCCTAATAAAATGAAGAAGTGTTTAAGTTACAGGTGATAGAAATAGCTTATAACCAACAACAGTGTCTGACCAAAAGTATTACAATACTGCATTCTTACATTACATTTTTAGCAGAGGAAAGATAAGGCATAACTCACTTCGGTGGGAAAAAATGCAGACACTTTGGACCATATATTGCCTTCATCTACACCCTTCAATGTCAAGAGGAGCTGTGTACACTCTTACTGAGAAGACAATACAGTCCAAAGTTTCAAAGGTCAAGCTTCTCATCCTCACCTTCAGTTTGAGAACTCAGCTTCACCTCTCTCACTCACTATTTCACTCTCTTACTTTGTTCACTGCACCAACATGTCCCATCTTGGAGTTCCTTTTGGCTGTTTACACTATTGAATTATTGGTAAACGAACAGGTGGGCCACCAATATAAGAACCAACTTCACAGTGTGTCCACAATACCCAGTGCTATTTTGTCCAACATCCACATTTGTGCTTTACAAGAAAGTTCTAGTTATTGTCCTCTGAGCATCTCAGTTCCCAGTAGAGTTCTCTGAAGCAAGGGTTAAGAAGGCCTTTGGAGATTTCCAAGAACCAAATGAACTGTGGAAGAAGAGGTCTAACTCCCATAAATCACTCGGTGCCAGTGCCATTTCCTAAATCTTTCCTCAAATGGAGGCCAGCCTGAATGTTCAATTCTCACTCCTTGAGCAAGAAAAAGAGTTTTTGAAAAGCAGTCAGGAGGGGCCTCCATGGAGCCTGATACTCCAATGAACTAAAGATTGTATTATTCAACGGTGATACAAACCTCAGTGAATTATCGTGGCAATTTAGGTCACACAGGATTTTATTTATTACACTGCTCTACAGCTAAAATGCTTCTGAAATAAATGTAGTCAAACTTTACTAATTCTGGGTCACTGAGAACAAAAATGATGCTTAAAATTGTTGATTGGCTCTAGTTTTCAAGATATGCTATTGGGTCAGTATATTCGACCCTTGACTTGGGAATGGCGGAGGATAAGTGAGTTATAAAGGGAAGGTATCTCAATTTAAACCAGAAATGACTAAAATACATCTTTGACTGGATCTATGAATAAATCTATGA